GGGGGGCCCCCCCCCCCCCCCCCCAATATTAGCTATAACCCCCTCCCCCCAAACAAAATGTCCACCCCTCCAAAAAAAATTTCAAACCCCCCCCCAATATTCGGCATAATAAAAAATAATTAAATAGTCCACTCCAACGTGCAGAGTGTTGATGATACAAAATAAACGTAGGAGTACACTCAAATAGAAAAAGACAGTGCAATACTCTGGAACTAATTGCTCCCCGCTTGCATTCACTGGCTTATTGGACCAATTGTAAAGTTTTGAAACTCTATTATCTCCTCCTGAATAGAGTAAGAAACGTTTGGAAATTTTACGAACATTTTTTTTAGTTTTTAATTCTTTTAGGAAATAGTCTTGCCTAGATCTAATCTTTACGTCCCAAATATTATTTACATTGGAGTTGCATCATAAATTGTACTCGGATTCAAATGACAAAATGTCAATGATTTTATAAAAGTAAAAGCATATTGTGTATTGGCCAATTGGGTTTACACTTTTACAGGTTTATTTAACTTTAACTCTCTCAAGTCTCAAATTGACAATTGGACCGGCCAAATCCATTGATATGACAACTTCAAAAAACGTTTTTTCGAAGCTAGAAATCATGATTTTTTTCAAATTTTTCCAGGGATACTTTGTTTTCTGCTCTCTAGACTCCCACTCGCGGCTCTAGTGCTCCACCTCTAGAATATAGCCCTTACTGGGGTTTGGTGACACTTTGTGTTGCTTCGGTCACCTTGCGGCTCACCCCCATAAAAGTTCTGGCACCACCCCAGTCAAAAATATGAAAATTCGTCTATGGCTCAGATTGAATCTTCACTCAATTAATGTTAATGAACTTTTAGAATACAGGTGTAAGGATTAACTTTGTTAGCCGGTTGTCATTCAACACGTAACTCACTACTATATGGTCTCGCTATAACAATCACAGGAAGCCGATTGCCGATCAGCAGCCTTATAACATTGTCCAAATTTGAAACAGTTTGTGCATATAAAAACAACATAACACGCCGCATCTTTTCTGAATATATAACTCATAACAAAATTATATATACGCACATTTAGTCTAAATATATATACGCACAGTTAGTCTAAATAAACACAATCAACCACACTACGTACGGCTGTAAACGAAATACCTAGAACATTTGTTACCCTCAATATTCGCGAGAAATACGTTGTATTTTCAAAAGATTCTGCCTCACCAAGACTGGCCATCGATGACTATAAATATAATATCACAGAGATTCTCAGAGACCATTACCAGTGTTTCCACTCTCCAAAAGGTCAGGGCCTTTCAGAGGGGGGAGGGGTGTGGCACTGGGGGCAATTTGCGCCGCCCCCCTGTTCAAGGGGGACCCCCAAATTTTAAAAATTAAAAAAAAATTTCGAACGTTTTTTGCCATAAATAATGGTATGAGAAAAAAATTTCTAAACCAAAATTTTACATTTATTGATGGCAAAAAAAGGGTCTGACCTATGTTGTAATAGGAATTTGTGCGGAAAAAGTTTTTTGAACCTTAGTTTAACTCGTGTTCGACCAGAAAATTTTTTTGACCCTTTATTAAATGTCATGCCGAAAAAAAGTTTTCACCCCCTCCCCCGCTCGCCAACCTTTTAAGGAAAGATAGGGCCCCCGAAACAAAAATTTGCCCCGAGCCTCCGAATTTCTCTGATAGGCCCTGATTTAATTGCCATTTTATATGGAAATAATTATAAGTCGATGGCATTACGATGTCATGTTAGCAATGTTAGTATGGCCGCGGTTGTCAGTGACGAAGTAATTATTGAATACAATAATTATCAATTATAGACCTGGAGCGAGGGGGATTCGGAGAAATATTACCCTCAGTGATGATATTTCCCGATGGCGCAGCCCGAGGGAAATATCATCACTGAGGGTTATAATATTTCTCCGAATCCCCCGAGCGGAAGGTCTATAATTGATATATTATACTGAAAATTTAAACAGGGTTGGATGTTAAAAGGTAAACAAGTGCACGATTTTGGACTTAACGGAGGTTGCAACTTATAATTAAAAACGTAATAATAACACTTTTACTGTACATCCTGTTAGTCATATATAAATTATTACGTATAAAACATGTGTCAGTTGACAAACTGAGAAAGTTATTTTGGAATGTTTATATTAATGGTACATCCATCAAACTTGGTGTATTTGAAGATTTCAGTCGGTGCGCTCATCACGCGTGACAGGACTGTATTCATTATTTGGTTGAGGTAAGGTGTTGAAGGAAGGTCGGAATCACTCAACAAGGGTGATTGACTTGCAGGTAAATTTGATCTTAAAGGACTCTGATATATATCATCATCTTTACGAGCGGTGGCAAGGGTTAATGATGTGGATATTCTTCGAGTTTGTTCCTCTGATACGCTGGTAGAATATGACCGGATGCTCGCTTCATTTTGATGGCCAGATATGGCCATGATATGTCTGGCTCCATACCCTGTAAAATAAGAGAGATGATGCTGTTAAGTCATGTAAATCTCATGTAAATCTACTGAATATTTATGTACAAACCAGCTTCATCCAAGACTGTTATTGCCGTTGAGCGAATTGAATGGTTTGTGTAGTGTTGTGAGAGCTGCGCTTGACGTGAAATAGTCGCCATCATATTCCCAAGGGTGTTTTTGCCAAGGGGTGCTTTGCAAAACCAAGTTTCTTCAGTTGGAATAAAGCTGTCGAGTGGTCGTTGCTAAAGAGCATTTATATCTTTATTTAATTTGCTTTTGTACTTCAGAAATGATGTCAAAGGACAAGCAGGATTTCCTAAACAAAGAGGGAATCATTCTCAGTAAATTATCATACATAAGCAATTATATATATGCAGGGATACAGGTAGATACCTGGTAATTCATACATTCTGCCTTGTGTTACGGCTCCAGTAGATGTATCGCGATGATTTTTGTCTAGTTCATCCTTCTTCTGGTGAATGTATCGTTTTCCACTGCTGTCAGTAGATATATCAAATGTTTCCGTGGTCATTGCTCTTAAATTCTCTTGCCCTCGTCGGCATAGGTAATACATGATTTCAAACCACACTTTGTTTAGGAGACCGTTCGGAGTGTCGGTGTAAAACACAATGGTGTCGCCACTGTAAAGTTTCGACATCAGCTCTTGTGATTGGGACGTGGTGTTTTACAGAACCCAAGCCTTTTCGACGTATATCTTTTACTGCTGCTTTAAAGACTTTGGTGCTATATGAAAATGACTTGTCATTTAAGCTAATTTATATATATTATAAATTTAAGTTAATGGGCAATGCTGTCCACAAATTTAGTCTAATTTATATGACAATCGATTTGAATATTTTGCGTGCGGTACAAAGGTCACAGACCCGCAGCTGTCATTTGTATCAAAGGTCATCTTCGTATTGGCAAAGCGTACACGTGCACATCTCATGACCAATTATCTTTCAGCCAATCAAAATATATCTTTAATGGCATCAAAACATGTAACCAATCATAATTCGGTTAAGCCGCTAAAATAGACCAAATACACCTGAAAGAGATCACTTGTTTCAAAGTCTTAACAAAGTAATGTTCCAAAGCTACTGTAACATTTTCAGATAAACCGCGGGCGAAATGAAAATATAACTACCTCGGATGATCAAGAATTGCGCGAGCATTGCAAGAACTATAAACACGATATAACACTACATTGATGGATTTGATATTGGAATCGATGTATGTAGCCTACAGTAGATTAAAGTGGTTAAAGCGAGACGACGTTATGGACTTATGGCAAACAGTATTCAACGGCGCCAGCACGTGCATTTAGTATACTTTTCTCATTGACAATGGCCAAAGGAATATGTTGCCAGATTCGTTCAAGTAGTGACAATTCGACGTTTAGCAGTAACAGAAACAAAAACGCGGGCGCTGGGGAATTATAAAAGAACGAGTCGCCAAGCGCCCTGGTCCGTATGCAATATATTATCATGTTTGCGCGCTTGTCAATTACGGGTATCGTAAGTAAAAGTTTGTTTCAGATTTCGTTTAAAACCAAGCAAAAATTGTAAAATTCGATCTGGTATAAAATTCTGGCATAACATTTGCCAGAACGATATATTTTCTGTTTGTAATCCAATAGAGTTATATTTCACTGTGAATTTGATCTTCGAATCGACTCAAAGTTCAAAGTTCAAGCGCAATCAATTTTAGAGTACTCGTTGTATATTTGGGAATGCGTTTTCAGCCTAACCTAATTTTATGATTCCTTTTGTTAAAATCCAGTAGTGGTTAGAACTACATAACCTATAACTGAGCAAAGGCTTGGAAAGAGAGCCCATGTATGCAAGAAATATTAATTATAAATTTGCATGCTGTGTAGATGGATGATTTGGGAGCATTTTAATTTAAAATAATAACTCGAAAGTCAGTTTTTACACACATTTGGCACTTTATATCATACATATATGTTTGCTTACCTATAATATACTATTACCATATAACCTAGCTATAATTCTGTTTCAACTGAGTTTGAACTTAATTTCCACCCAACCTCGTACCCACAGTCGATCTGGCCAACACTTTGACGCCTTTGTGCTTTTCAATAGAACAAGACGCCTGCTCAGGCGTTCCCACTTCCGTCGATCAAAATAACGACAGTGTGATGCCTGGAATATGAGTGCAGTCACATCAGCAATATTGCTCTTTCTCGAGGGCAAAAATTTAGCTATTGCTACCAATACAATTTAGACAAGCTATGAAACGGAGACAGTGATAGGCTACATGGCATCTCCAGTGCTGTAATATCAAAATTATATAGCGCTACTATCTATATACGTCATAGTATACTTTAATAATTCAATGTTGTTTTGCGTTGCGGTTGAATTTTCTTTTCTTGAAGAAAATACAGTAGAGACAGTTGTATATATTGACGATGTACTGTACTCTAAAAATCACGATGCCGATATATAAAATCAGTCAATACTCAATAGACACAATACTCAATATTCAATAACAATGTCATGTGTGTTTTACTATGTCTATAGTTTATATAGACTGTAAAAGCTTGGATATGTTTATAATGAAAGGTAAAATAAGACCACTGACTGGCACTGTGTATATATATTTTATTTATCAGTATTGCAACGCTTTCGATCTGGGAGGGAAACACAATGATAATACAGTATAAACAATCAACATTGTTGCCAATTTCATATCTGTATAATAAAACTAAGGATTTCAAATAATTCAAAACTGGTCTGTAGTGTAGACAGGCGAGGACCCAACCAATGCAATACCGAATAAACCAAGAAACTGTATTATACGAATACTTTCCTTTATGATACGTTGAAAAATTCAAGCAAACTGCAACAATATTAAACAAAAAAGTCAAAAATATGTTCTGTCTGTTATCGTCCACTGCATTAAACGCAACTGCCATTTCACCATCGTTTTCTCGACCGGAAAACAGACAAACGGTATTTTAATTAATAAACTTTCTCATTCGGGAAGTGTAATAAAGTTTTATGCCAACATAGGCTCTATTCCAAGATTTATGTCTCAACTGGAAACGCTCTAATCCTCTATGCTTAATTAATTAGTTACTTCACCAAGCAAACGATTTGGATAGACAAAGAGTTCGGCAAATATTGGGTCTCTTCAAAAACACTTAAAACTGAGTGAAAGAATAAATGAATTTAAAAAAATTCAAATAAAAAATTGCCAAGATAGAGCTATGTTTGTCGTGTTACCAACGCTCCTATTGAGAAGTTGTAACATAGAAGCTTTGTGGGGAAGCTGCTGGTTAATTGTCTTGGCCCCATTCAGGTTTCCTGTATTGCAGGTTTTTCCTGGCCTCCCTGATTATCCAGCTGTAGTATAAGCGATGGTAATTCTCAAACATGCACAAGCCTTACTATCATCTGGCAAAAGCTGTCCTCTATATGAATACAGCTGTTGTGGGAGTGGGATTGTTCGTCTATGGGGAATACACTCAAGTGTCAGATACACTTTATTGTATTTGTGGGGTTGAAGTGCTCCCAAAGGTCACCTTCATGCCCATAGACTCATTCAATGTAAATATAATCGGCCGAGTTATAGGAACTGTCCAAGGGACCCTTACCCCTTGGTTCAGGTTAATAAGGTCAGAGGGGGTCGCTACCCTTCTGGCATGTGCTCTGGGGACCCTTACCCCCAGAGCAGCTCTGGGGACCCTTACCCCCAGAGCAGCCCTAGGGACCATTACCCCTAGGGTTATCAGAGCGGGCCTTGTATATACCCCGCAGGATGAAATATAAGGCCATAAAGAGTCTATTGGGTTAAATATACATATAATGTGACACTTATTGTAACAGGAGTACTTCACCCCCATAACCCATTCTCCCACACAAAAGCTGTATGTGTCTATTCTTAATTTTTAGCTCAGTTAGCTGGCAGGAGAGCAATTGTTCCATTAATTGCTATAAATATCTGTATCCATTTTTAAAATTATTAGATTTATGTATAACGGACACGCAACCTTATTCCGAATATGATAATTATCATATCATCTGCTGGTGAATTTGTAAATTCGTTAGGAATACCCATATATGAATATCTGGTGGATGCTGATTTTGATAGATTACATCATAATGCTTTTTATGGTATAAATAGGGGAGATACATCACTTAATATTTGTGAAATGTTTATAAAACCTTTTATGGATCGATTTGTTTTTGCATTTATCTATGGTTAAGATGTCACTCTACGATTTATTAGATTTATATAAGAAATATATGTTTAAAGCACATTGTATTATTGATATTTCTATGAGTTTGTGTGTGGGTTTTGTCTATATTAAAGATAAAAAAAACTATAAGAAAAAAATTTGTAACAGTTTATTGAACGAGGGATATATGTTAGAAGTGTTTACACGAAACTGGATGTTTAAGGTTATAGACGCATTTGAAAATAAAAGAGTTTGGGTAAAAGAATCTACTCAGTTCACAGTTGGAATTATTGTGGGTAACTGTACAGTATAAAAAACAAGATGGTTGCAACAGCTACGCAAACTTATTATTTTGAGACAACTGTTGAGGAAAAAAATCTACTTGATGTATTGCAAAGATATAGGGGTTCTAAACTCGCGTATTGCAAGTATATTAAATATACGATCAGCGACACTATAAACATTTTTGGAGATTGATAACATTTACAGGGTATAAAGTTTGTTGGTACCATAACGATGTTATTTATGCGGGTATAAAATATATTTTAACGGTAAAGTTTGA